TTAGACTTATATATTGCTTCACAGTGCTTTACAGCCCTCTCGAAGCGGTTTACCAACTCAGCATATTGTTCCCAACAATCTGGGTCCTCATTTTATTATAACAACAACAACAACAACAACAACAACAACAACAACAACAACAACAATAATAATAATAATAATAATAATAATAATAATAATAATAATAATAATAATAATAATAAAGTTGGAAGGGACCTTGGAGGTCATTGAGTCCAACCCCCTGCTCAGGCAGGAACCCTACACCATTTCAGACAAATGGCTGTCCAGTCTCTTCTTAAAAACTTCCAGCGTTGGAGCATTCACCGCTTCTGGAGGCAGGTTGTTCCATTGGTTAATTGTTCTAACTGTCAGGAAGTTTCTCCTTAGTTCTAAGTTGCTTCTCTCCTTGATCAGTTTCCATCCGTTGCTTCTCATCCTGCCTTCAGGCGCCTTGGAGAATAGCTTGACTCCCTCTTCTTTGTGGCAGCCCCTGAGATATTGGAACACTGNATTCCAAGTGTGGCCTTACTAAGGCATTGTAAAGTGGTATTAATACTTCACGTGATCTTGATTCTATCCCTCTGTTAATGCAGCCCAGCACTGTGTTGGCTTTTTTGGCAGCTGCAGCACACTGCTGGCTCATATTTAAGTGATTGTCCACTAGGACTCCGAGATCCCTCTCACAGTTACTACTATTGAGCAAGGTATCTCCTATACCAGGGGTAGGCAACCTTGGCTTTTTTATGACTCGTGGACTTCAACTCCCAGAATTCCTGAGCCAGCCAGGCTGGCTCAGGAATTCTGGGAGTTGAAGTCCACGAGTCATAAAAGAGCCAAGGTTGCCTACCCCTGCCCTATACTATACCTGTACATTTGGTTTTTCTTGCCTAAATGTAGAACCTTACTTTTTTCACCATTGAATTTCATTTTGTTAGATAGCACCCAGTGTTCAAGTCTGTCCAGGTCCTCCTGTATCTTAAGCCTGTCTTCTAGAGTGTTGGCTATTCCTGCTAGCTTGGTGTCATCTGCAAATTTGATGAGTTCCCCATCTATCCCCTCATCCAAATCATTGATGAAGATGTTGAAGAACACTGGGCCTAGAACAGAGCCCTGAGGCACCCCACTACGCACTTCCCTCCATGTAGATGTGGTTCCATTGAGGACCACACGCTGAGTACGGCCGGTCAGCCAGCTCCGAATCCATCTGGTGGTGATGCTGTCTAACCCACATTTTTCTATCTTATCGAGTAGTGATCTATTTTATCAAATGCCTTACTGAAGTCCAAGTAAATTATATCCACAGCATTCCTCTGATCCACTAATTTTGTCATTTGGTCAAAGAATGCAATAAGGTTTGTCTGGCATGATCAATTTTTGACAAACCCATGTTGGCTTTTAGTAATGACTTTGTTTGCCTCTAGGTGTTCGTTGATTCGTTATTTGATTATCTTTTCCAGGATCTTCCAGAGTATTGAGGTCAGGCTGATAGGTCTGTAATTTCCTGGGTCCATTTTTTTCCCTTTTTTGAGGATGGGAACTACATCAGCTCTTTTCCAGTCCTCTGGTAGTTCCCCTGTGCTCCAGGATCTTTGAAAAATATAGTTCAGTGGTTCTGAGATCACATCTGCCAGTTCCTTGAGAACCCTGGGGTGTAATCCATCTGGTCCTGGTGATTTGAACTCGTCTAGGCTGGACAGGTGCTCACTTACCATTTTCTTGCCTATCTTAACTTGTGTTTCTATTCTGTTTTTTATGGCACTATTTTTGATAGGTTGGTCTGTTTTTTCCCTTTGTGTAAAGACAGATGCAAAAAGTGAGTTAAATAGTTCTGCTTTCTCCCTGTTGCTTGTCACCTTCTTGCCACTTTCCCCCACTAATGGACCAATCATTTCCTTCACTTTTTTCTTGTTTTTTTACATGTTGAAAGAAGCTTTTTTTTGTTATTTTGCTAATAAATCTTGCCAATAAAACTGCAGAGACTTGTCCAGACAGTAGCCAGGAATCAAAACTGAGTCAAAGATACCAAAACCAAAAAAACAAGATGTTAACAGAATCTTTTCTTTTCCATCTATATTCCTGTTTGCTTCTCTTGTTTTTCAAGTTATTGAAATTGGAAAATGAATATATTTTGACCAGGCTCAAAATGTCATTTATGAAAACAATCCTCTGCTCAAAAAATGATCAAGAACTTATAGTCCATGTGTGTATGTGTGTGTGTGTGTGTGTGTGTGTGTGTGTAAGGGCCCCAGATACCTACACAAAAGACACCCAGAAAGCAGATTTGAATTACAGAAGCATACAATATATTTTGTATAGCATACTTTTATTCAGGGCTTTTTTTGTCATAGAACGCCCAGAACAGAGTTCCGGCACCATTTTTGGATGGAACCTTGTAGGGTAGGCAAGGCGGGTTATATAACGTGTGAGAGTTCTGGCACCTTTTTTTTTTTTTTAACAAAAAAAGCACTGCTTTTATTTAAATCTATTTTTAAATGCATATACACATAAACTCTGGCAAGTGTTTTCCTTGGCTGGGTTGTGTGTGTTCATTTCTTTCCTTTTTAAAATTACTCATATGCAAGTGAGAAATTGCCCAAATTACAAACTAAATTGTAGGTTAAATGAATACAATTAAATTATAAGTTAAATTATATACCTAGCAAAAAAGAGCAATGACATTCCTATTTAGGAAATTAGTAGCTTGGAAAATTCTTATGTAAGAAAACTATCCGGCTGCATGTGGATCAACTTTAGGAAGAATTTGAGTTTTCATTAAGTATAGATAACTTCTACTCTACCTCATATCTGGGAAGTTTACCACACCTGGTTGTCCCTGTTCAACCCAATTGTGGTCAATTGGAAATTAGAAATCAAATGTAAATAAGTGTACATTATCATGCAACACAACTGCATTGCTTCATTTGGAAGGCAACTATTTTTTTAAAAAAAAATATGTATGTGCATGTGTGCATGCCTACACATCTTCAGAATGATGTGTTGGTCCTATTGGTTCAGCCTTGCACAATAGTCCCAGTTTCTCTTGTGACCCCTTGATAAAATTAATTGTCCACCCACTTTCTATTCCATTTTTGTGCATAGAGTATTCTTGCTGCTGTCAGCATATGTAGCATCAAAATTCTATTTTCCCCCCAAGTTCTTTGTCATCGTCATTGTCAGCCATTCAGTTGTGCCTGTTTCTCAGCCACTCTATGGACCAGCACTCTCCTTGCCCCTATCTTGCACAACCTCCTTCAGATCTGCCATGGTCATCTCAGTGACATCTTTTATAGTGTCCAGCCAGTGGGTACTACAGTGGCCCCTTCTCCTTTTCTGCCGATCACTCTTTGTCCTGTCCATTAAGCCTGAAAGAAAACTCTCTGGTTTTATGTCGATGGAGATTCTCAATCATTCAGTTCATGATTGTCCCAAAGGTAGCTTTTTTCAAAAGGCAACTGGACTTTCATGGTTTGTTTCTTCTTTGAAAATTTTTTGCTTCTTATCCCAGAAACTTCTTCAGTTAAGTTCAAAGGTAAAAAAAAAAAACCTCAATAAAATCCAGTTGTCTTTTGGAAAAAGCACATTTGGGTCTCTGGTTATATCTTTATATTCACTATAGGAATCTTCTGTATTAGAATATGAATCCTACTCCAATATTTCTTTGCTTTGTTGCAGATCAAAAGTTCATTCTTTCTATTTACATTTCCAAGTCACTTGACATTTCTGTAGGGCGTGATTAGACGAGTTTAGTCTGATGCTTTGAATAGTAGGCTTAATGAGCTTCAGGTTACCTAACAGGTAGATCCGTGGGGTGAAACTGGAGGGAGCTCTCCTGAAGCTTTCTGCAGTCCTTTTCCATACCCATTAGTTGAGCTTTTCTGAATAGGCACACTGGCTGAGGAATTCTGGGAGTTGAAGTCCACAAGTCATAAAAGGGCCACGTTTGAAGACCCCTACATTAGCCAATTGCAGTTGTTGGTTATAATTCCTCATCTCTGAGGAATCTCCATTAATAAGGAATTAATAGATTTGCTCTCCCTCCCAAGATAAATAATGGACTTCTGCTCTGCTCTCTTCTACCTTGTTGCAAGCTTGGAGAAAGGCTGGTAACAAAGCAGGATGGGTGGAACTTAATATGGAAAGAATTTAGGAAAATGAACAGAGGAGCCAAATGCTGGGAGTAAAATGGCTGCAACAAACACCGGTTAGTGACTAAGGGAAATGGGAATGACAAGGACTCCCAATATTCCTTAAATACTCCTCTGTTTGGCCACACCCTATTTGTCAAGGCTGTTTAACTGGCTAACCAAAGATATGAGAATCACACATTTCAGATAAATATAGGTAACATGAGGATGTAAAAACAAAAGTCTTGAAAGCTTTTAAGAGTAAATTCCCAAGAGGTTAATTAAGGCAAAGTTACTTTCAAACAGCTCCTGAGCTGTGTAGCCTCTTTTCTCATAAATTAAAGTCCTCCTCTACTTCCTCACATTAATTCATCTCATTCCCAAGTGCCAAAGGGTTTGTCTACTTGAAACTGAGATAAGATTTTTATCAGCTAGGATAAATACAATATTTGTATGCAGAGTTCTGGCACCTTTTTTGGATGGAACTTTATAGGGTAGGCAAGGTGGGTTGTATGACGTGTGTGAGTTCTGGCACCTTTTTTTTTAAAGAAAAAAAGTACTGTTTGTATGTCTTGCTTCCATATCATTTCCTGCCTGCCTTTCCAATTTGGTTTTTCTTCAGAGAGTGTTTTCTATTCCTAACGATTCAACATGTTGCTCCCAACCTGGAAGTCACTTCTTCTCAGATAATGTGCCCGTTAATTTCCTTAAACACTAGTGAGATCAAATAAGTAAAACAAAAACGAAGCAAGATCACACAGAATTTGGAGATCGGTTTTATCTAAGAAAGTGCTTTGAAATCAGTGGGTGTGAAGTTACGTTTATGTCTTCTTTATATTTCAGGAAGAAATAAACTCATCAGAGTGTTATACTAATACTTGAAAAAGTTATTTTAATATAAATTTGTGAAGAATAGTGGTTGGAATTTCTTTTGCAGGTTACGTAAGGAGTATTAAACAATGATATTAGAAATGTGATTTCACATAACCTAAAATTTGGAAAGCTTGGGAAGATTTGATACTTTGGGTCATTCTTGTTTCTTCACATCAAAACTGATATCCAGAATCTTTTCCAAAGCCATCAATGCACGCTCAGGAAGAATTCTGGGGAAAAAAGAATAGAGGAACATTAAACAAAAATCTCACTGCTTATTTTTTGATATGCCATAACATGTATTTTAATTCTAATTGTCAGTGCAGAAGTTCAGCCCTTAAGCACCCTGCATACATACATTTCCATCCAAGGGCACATTGTAACGGAGAATGGCATAACAATCTTGTTTTGATTGCAGAGTATCCCATCCATGAGCCTCCTTGCAACTGCCTCAGGTCTCAGAATAGGTATTATTCTGGAATTGTAATTGTTGATGTTATTAATAGTGAGCTATTAATTCATTTTATTTTAAAAGAAGTGACTGCTGGGTCTTGTGGACTACAGTTATCAGTGATACTGATTCTATCTGCTTGACAAATGAACACCACTTTTGTAGCTGCCATAATAACTTATTTTTATTTATAGAAATATTTTTGGCCCTCGAAGCATTTATACAAAAGAGGGGGGGATATTGGGGCTGGGGGGGAGGGGAAGGAGAGAGCATGGTAATCCAGAGTCTGGTTCAGAAATCTGCCCACATAGTCTAGAAAAATAAAGTTGAAAGATGGAAGGAAGAACCTTCTGGGCACAGTGAGGGAAAAGTTCAGATACTCTTTCTCATGGCAGCCATTTTGGGAGAGACTCCAAAATATGCTCTCCAGATTCTGTTGGTTTCAAATGGTTAGCAATGTGCATGTAAACTAGTATTTCTCAACTTTGGCAATTTTAAGATAGCTTGACTTCAACTTCCAGAATTCCCCAGCCAGCACGTTGAAGTTGAAGTCCATATGTCTTAAAGTTGCCACGGTTGGGAAACTGCTCTATGCTAACTGGACCCATCTTGTCTCTTACCTTGATTGTGGGTTTTTTACAAACCCCGTGTTTACAAAAAATGGACACAAGCAGGTAGTCTTGATCCCATCTTTTCCCAAAGCAGACAATTCTTTGGTGAAGTCTTTGTGAAGCCCTAAAGCGGCAGACTTGCTTGAGCTAAACAGGAGAGGAGAATTAGGGGAGAAAAGAATTTTATTTCTTCCATTAAAAAGAGTTAAAACCAGTTAAAAACAGTAACAATAAAAAGACAGAAAGAATGCAATCAAACCTATACAGGCCCTTCATGAGCTCCACTTTCCCATAGGATTCCTAGGCCCAAACATTTGAGGGTTTTCCAGATGAGCAACAGTATTGGGGCCAACCTCACCTCAGGGGAAATGATATTTCAAAAAGTGGGTCCCCCACCAAATGAAACTCTGTGGCTTAAGGGACCAGCAACATGCTTCCCTTCCTGCTGGACCTGATGGGCTGGGGGGATGTCATTGGGGTAAGGCAGTCCCTCAAATAACCTGGCCCCTGCAATGTAGAACTTTGATGTCCATGGAAGTCTGGCTTGATACGTGTCTGATATGCAGGGTGTGAATGGATAATCATCACCCACTTAGATAAATGCAGTAAGCCCTTCAAGAGGCTTAAAAAGGGAAGCAACGTAATATTGACTAGAATATTATGCAACTCTGGTCTGACAGTTTTCTCTTCTCATGAACCTTTCTGCTCTCATATCAACTTCAGTGTTAAAAGAAAATACATGTAGCTTAGGGTTGAACCGTGGACTGCGAAGGGGAGCATTGGGATTTCAAATCTGGGTTAAAATAGCCTGGGGGACTCCCTTGACACTTCAAACAGTTGCTAAGCAATCAGTTGTAAGTTGAAGACTACCTGTATAAACAGACTCAGGCTCAACCCGTCCAAGACCGAGTGGCTGTGGTTACCGGCGTCTCGGCATAGTCAGCTGAGTCCATCGCTGACTATAGGGGGCGAAACTTTGGCCCCCTCGGAGAGGGTACGCAACTTGGGCGTCCTCCTGGATTCGCGGCTGACGCTGGATGACCAGTTGTCGGCCGTGACCAGGGGGGCGTTTTATC